TTTTTTTGGTACTTGTGCATAGTGGAAGACAACAAATTGAGTTGTGGGTCCCATATGATGGGATGTTTTAGCTAATCAATGATAATTTATCGTCTTTTCATCTGTTTCATTTTATATGATATTATTTTATTTAAATGAAATATATTTCTAATGTATATTTTTACCTAATCAACAATAGTTTGTTGTCTTTTCATCCGTTAAATTTTAAATATATTATTTTATTTAAAATTAATATGTTTTTAGTTACGTACATTCTGAAATATTTGTGATTTTATATTATAATATATATATATATATATATAATATTTAGTGTAATAACTAATGATATAAACTTTGAAAAAACGATTAAAATAATCTCTATAGTGTTAAGGAATTTGTAATTAAGCTAGGTGTTAAATTTATATTATTATTTTTTTAAAAAATAGTTTAATCATAACTTGGAAAATCACATAAAACATATTGTTAATCGATCCACGACTCTACAATTTACACAAAATCTATCTTAGGGGGAAAAGATAATTTTTTGTCAAAATTCACCTTCAAATCTAGTGTAACTCTTGCTATTTGATTTTGAGCTCGTTTATATTGAATATTGACTTTGGTCAAACTTTACAGAATTCAAAATTATAGATTTCTCCGGAATTTATTTTATCACCTCAAGAATCGTGTCAATCATCCCCACAAATATAAAATGACATATAAAAGTTGTTGAAAGAAAAAAAAAATCAAGATATGCTGAGTGAGAACACAAAAAGATAGTACAAATCGTCACAAAATAAAATTTTGAATTCAAATCAATTTGATCTCATATCATGTCCAAACAAACATTGTATTTATTATTCTCTTAGGACAAGAATGACTTATAAGATAATCTAAAATACTTGATTTTAAAAATAAGATGTTAAGTTTTTCTACAATAAAAATAAAAATTTGATTATATATATATATATATATATATATATATATATATATATTATATATTATATATATATATATATATATATGTCTCACATTTGCTAATCAAATTATCATAAACAAATTTAAATAGAGCAAATACACCAAATATTGCACTCCAATATCCAAGGATTTATAAACTCTAATAAAACCCCATTGAAATCTAATCGAAGTACTCAATTAATTTACTAAAATGACTTCGAAAGTGAGAATCTAGAACTTTTAATATCATTTATTTAATGGATAAAAATCTTTGGTTTTAAAAGTTCAAGATCATATCATGCATTCGAGGGTGTGACATAATAATTAATAAAGTGGAATGAAAATTACGAGATATCGAAAGTAAACCTCAACAAAGATAGTATTTTATACATGATTTTCCTCCTATTTATTTTAACTTAGCGTTATTTTATACATGTTACTTATTTGAATATGATAATCACGTGAATTCAAAGTATCTTCACCCTTATTTTTTTCAAAAAAAAAAAGAAATATTCTTTTTGTTCCAATTAATACGATACATTTCATTTTTCAAAAGTCAAACAATTTAAATTTGATTGAGAATTTGTGAATGAATTTTTCATTTTTTAAAAAAATAAAATTTAAATTTGATTGAGAATTTGTGAATGAATTTTTTCAATTTTTCAAAAATAAAATTTAAATATTTATAAACTACGTAAAATGTATTATAAGTCACAATAAATAACAACTCAAAATATTTTAAAAATACATAAAAATTTACAATCAAAGCTAAATTTATTCGATTTTCGAAATTCTAAATTTAAAATGTACAACATAAATTAAAATGGAGAGTAATAACTTAAAATTTCCGACTTTTAGAGCTTATGGTCCGCAGACACGTCATTATATAGGAAAAGTCGAAATTGCCACTTGTCACAAAATGTTTTTCCATAATAGCCACTAGCCAAAACATTATTTCCAAATTAGATTTTGTAATTTTTTTAAAAAAACTATTGTAATCTCATTTTGTAAAGTTAAAAAGGATTGATCTAACTTATAATATATAATTAACCGTTTTATACATATATTGATTTGATATAAATATAAAAAATATATGTAACTTACATATTTCTTTTGAATGACAAATTTTGATGTAAACACGGAAAATACGTGTAACTTGTATATTTCTTTTGACTTATAAATTCTCTGGCATATTTAAAAAGTATCTTGTAATATATAAATAAAACGTTTTATGTATTTATTAATTTGATGCATGTAAATACAAAAGATACGTGTAACTTACATATTACTTTTGACTAACGAATTCCATGGCGTGTTTTAAAAATGTCTTGTAATGTATAAATAAAACGTTTTACACATTTATTAATTTGATGTAAAGACTAAAGATACATGTAATTTACATATATATTTCTTTTGATCGATAAATTTCTTGGCATATTTCAGAATTACTTTTCTATATATTTATTAATTCGATATAAACACAAAAGATACGTGTAACTTACATACATTTCTTTTTATTGACAAATTCATTGACATGTTTCAGAGTTATCTTGTAATATATAAAATAAAATGTTTCACATATCTATTGATTTGATGTAAACATCAAAAATACGTGTAACTTGCATATGTCTTTTAATCGATAAATTCTTTGACCTATTCAAAATGTATTTTATAATATATAAATAAAATATTTTATAAATCTATTGATTTGATGTAAATACGAAAGATAATTACATATTTCTTTTGACCAACAAATTCCTTGGGATATGTGCATTGTGGAGGACAACAAGTTGAGGTAGTAGGTCCCATATAATGGTACCTTCTACCTAAACAACAAATTAGAGTTTTTTTTTCTAGATAATTCCATTTGTTTTATTTTATATGATATTTATATTATTTAAAGTTATTGACATTATTATTTTTCTTATAGCCATTTAATTTCTTTTAATTATAACAATTTTTGTTATAAAATATATATTATTTTATGCAACTTTTGTCCAAAAGGGAAATACTTTATACATGCATATTATTTACATCAAATAACTTAAATATATAATTATTAGTAGCAAATTGAAATGAAACTATATACTAAATAATAAATGGATATAAATGTAACGTTTCAAAATATTATGGATTAGATTTGAAAGTCGATGAAAGTAAGCATAACTTGGAGCGGTTATGAGTGTGACAAATGCATAGGAATGTGTGCATTGTGGGTCCCATATGACAGGTCTTTACCTAATGCATACGATTCCCTTTTTAAGGTCTATCTGTTTCATTTTATATGATATTAATATCAATTTATAAATAAAAATATAATAGATAAAATCATGAAGACAAATTTATTTATAAAATTATATTAAATATATTGTGCGGAGTTAAACTAAATTGACTACAATGAAATCAATTCATGTAATTCAATCAATTATATAGTCATTTTATGTACTTTTTAAAGTGATCTTAATTTATTTCGGAGTTACTTATAATGTACTTATTTGTAAAATCAAGCAAAGACATTATATGATTATTTTTAAAATTCCACATATGGTTTGTTTAATATTTTTTTCTCCTATATTAATTGGTCATTTTTCTTTTTATGCGTATATTATGTATACTAAAAAATCATAAATAACAAAATAATTTTATTAATTCATCTTTTAATTTTTCAAAAAGAATTAATTGCAATGGTAACATAAGAAAAATTTAGTTAATACTTTCTTAATTTAGTAAACTGTACAATTAATACGTCTTTTTAAGATAATCAATTAATATGAAACTATATATATATATATATGAAAAATTTCTCTATTTAAACCACAAAAGCTTCTAAAACAATAACCCTTGTCTTTTTTTGAAAAAAAATAAAAATGAAGATTTGTAATTCTGACCAAGTACAAATATTAAATGTAACAAAAAGTACATCAAGATCTACTAAAGAATAATCCTTATATTCTTATTATATTTTATAAAAAAATAAATAAAATCCAAGTGATGAAAAGTAGAAATCTTTCATGTACTTACACACACTAAATTTCCATTACATGAGAATTAAATTTTAAAATCATAAATACATTTTAAGGGCTTAAACATTTAATATTATTTTCTATTAAGTTTTTATATATCATAGCAAAGTCAAACTATGCAAATGACTATTAATATTACTTTCCTAGTTTCAAAATGTATTTTGACTAAACATAAAATTTAAGTTTTTTCAATTGTAATTTGAATAAATCAATGATATTTATAATAATTATAAATTATTTTATTGATAATTTAATATATAAATTTCAAATTAGTTATTTGAAATATAAAAATAATATTCTTATTTAGTTTTTCAGAGATAAATTAAAAAGGAAAGTGTATCATATAAATTGATATTAATAGGTGCTAATTTTTAATATTTATAATATTACATCTGTTTCAGTTTATATGATTTGATTCAATGTATCAAATTAATATCCAAATATGAAATCAAACATAAAATCTCTCAAATAAAATTTGCATATTAAGAGTCCACATAAAAAATACTCTAAATTAAAATAGTAATTAATTCAAAATATTTTTAAAATAAAACTACAATATATGTATGTAAATTAAATATTTGTTTAGCACAAATATCAAAAGATTGTTTCACCAACATTTCCCTATCACCTACCCCAACAAAAAACAATTAAAAAATTTGAGGACATTTTTGTCCATAAAATAATTTTATTTATTCATTTATGACTTTATTGACAATAACAATAATAGTAATAATATTATAATGATACATATATAGAGTTTTGAGAAGGTAAAATATATATCGATTTTATCTTTATTTATAGATAGATTTTTTATTTAAAAATTCTTGATTTCATAATAACATATTTAATATTATTTAATAAATAAAATTTTAAAAATATATAAAATATCAAATTTTATGTGTATCTCGTAAATATGGAGAAATTATAATAAGAAATAACATATTTAATAAAATTTTATAAATAAAATTTTAAAAATATATAAAATATCAAACTTTACGTGTATTTCGTGAAGGTATAGAGATTGTTCTCGATAAGCCTAAACTTTTATGACCAAAAAAAGGAAAGTAAAATTCATTATCTTAATTCTTCTTCTTCACCTCTTCACTCTCAGTCCCTATGAACATACTTGCCATTTCTGCAAAACCTCAAAGCTTTGTTCTTTGTTTGATTTCCTAAAAACCCAAAACCCCATTTTTGATCTGTGAAATCCTTGTTGTTTTGAGTTATAGAGGAAAAAAAATGGGTTCTCTAGTCCCATTTCAAGACCTTAATCTTCAACCTGAATCGACTAATTTTACATCTTCTACAACCCCAAATCCAAGAATTATCCCAAAGATTGAACCAAAGCTTGAACCCCTTGATGAGTATACACAAGCTGATCTTCAAACCCCAGCTTTTTTTTCCAACCCTAGTCCCAATTTCAACACAAGTTCTGGTTCAGCTTTTAGGAGGAACCCACAATTAGCTACTCATGAGGCTGATTCACAATCACCAAGCTCGATTATACCGGAGGTTCCACCTGGGTGCGATAGAAACAATGTTTATGTTTATTCGGAGTATAATCGAATTTCTGAGATGTTTAAAGAAGCTTTTACTGAGAAAATGCAGCGGTATGGAGATGTTGAGGTGGTTGGAAACCAGAATCAGGATTCTGTTGATGTGGTTATGGAAGACGCTGATGCTCGAGCTATAGTTCCGGTGAGTAATAATGATACACAGGTTGCAGAAGTGGTGGTTGCTAGAAGGAAATATCAACAGAGATCATCGGAATTGGTTAGAGTGACAGATCTTAAGGTTGAAGATCAGCTTTATTTTCGAGAGGCTGTTAGGAAAACCCGAATGCTGTATGATTCCTTGCGAATTCTTGCTATGGTGGAAGATGATGGAAGTCAGCATTTGGGTCCGTATAGAAAGCCAAGAGGTGATTTGAAGGCTTGTCAAATATTGAGAGAACATGGGTTGTGGATGAATCGTGATAAACGGATTGTCGGGCCGATTCCTGGAGTGCTTATCGGGGATGTGTTCTTCTTTAGGATGGAGCTTTTGGTTGTTGGATTGCATGGGCAGGCTCAAGCTGGAATTGATTATGTACCTGCAAGTCAGAGTTCGAACCGGGAGCCAATTGCTACAAGTGTGATTGTTTCAGGTGGCTATGAGGATGACCAAGATGGAGGAGATGTGATTATATATACAGGTCATGGTGGACAGGACAAGCATTCGCGGCAATGCGTGCATCAGAAGCTTGAATGTGGGAATTTGGCATTGGAGAGAAGTATGCACTACGGAATTGAGGTAAGGGTAATTCGTGGCTTTAAATATGAAGGAAGTGGAAGTGCAAGTGGTAAGGTCTATGTGTATGATGGATTATATAGAATTGTCGAATGCTGGTTTGATGTTGGAAAGTCTGGATTTGGAGTGTATAAATACAAGCTTGTTAGGATAGAGAATCAGGAAGAGATGGGAAGTGCTATTCTTCGTTTTGCACAGAATCTTAGGATCAGACCTTTGGAGGCAAGGCCTACTGGTTATGTTACTCTCGATATATCAAGGAAAAAAGAAAATGTGCCAGTGTTTCTTTTCAACGATATTGATGATAATCATGATCCGGCTTATTTTGAATATCTAGTAAAACCTATTTATCCTCCACATGTTTCTCTGAATGTGCACAGTGGTAATGGCTGCCAGTGCATTGATGGGTGTGCTGATAATTGTTTTTGTGCTATGAGAAATGGTGGCCAATTTGCCTATGATTATAATGGGATATTGTTGAGAGGCAAACCGTTAGTATTCGAATGTGGACCACATTGTCGATGTCCTCCAACTTGTCGGAATAGAGTGACTCAGAAAGGTTTGAGGAACAGATTTGAGGTGTTTCGGTCTAGAGAGACTGGTTGGGGAGTTAGGTCACTGGACTTGATCCAAGCTGGGTCCTTTATCTGTGAATATACTGGGGTCGTACTCACACGAGAGCAAGCCCAAATTTTTACAATGAATGGTGACAGTTTAGTCTATCCAAGTCGCTTTCCTGATCGATGGGCAGAATGGGGAGATTTGTCTCAAATATATCCTAACTATGAGCGCCCAGCATACCCCTCCATTCCTCCTCTGGATTTTGCTATGGATGTGTCTCGAATGAGGAATGTAGCATGTTATATTAGTCATAGTTCAAGTCCCAATGCTTTGGTGCAGCCTGTGCTTTATGATCACAACCATGTAGCGTTCCCCCACATGATGCTCTTTGCAATGGAGAATATTCCCCCTCTAAAGGAGATCAGTATTGATTATGGGGTAGCAGATGAATGGACAGGAAAGCTTGCCATCTGTGATTGACTAACTTATAGTGGTTGATTCAATTTTGAAAATGATGCGGCAAAGCTGTTTCTCGTACATTATTTGCTGAGGTAATTTAAACATTCAAGACAATAATTCCTGTTAAACTCAAAATTGTAATGACTTTCAGCATCATGTTCTCTTGAGGGATGACTGCTAATTACCAGTCTACTGGTATTAGTCGTCTTCTTACTCCAGCTACCTATTACTTTTGTTCTGAATCTCTTCGTAGACTATTTGAGACCTATTTCTTTAAAATATTGTGCCAGTCTTAAATTTATCTGGCTCTGGAGACTTCTGGACTTGCTATTCTCCTTCTATTGTGAATTTTAACAAGCTGATTGGAACTCCAGTTGCTTTGTTGAGTTTCTATCAATATGCTTTATCTCAGTTTGAATGCATCTTAACTGATTTATTGAATGAATTTGAACTTTTTTTCATGCTCGTCTGCATACATGGTATACTCCCAGACCCCACTTGTGGGACTACACTGGCTATGTTGTTGTTTCATACTAATTGATAAGAATTTCCCTTTTGTCTCTTTGCTTGTCTTTTTAATGGCTTATAGCGTGATTTTGTTTGTATTTGGTTGTGCTTTTGCCTTGATAGATCCCTTCCTCTTTAGATTTCATCTCTAAAGAACTGTTTGCACAACTGCTGAGTAGTACTTCCTTGTCCCATAATCGTTGTACAACTTTTTTTGGCACCCAAAGATGTGGCCGCTCAATAAAGCGGGTAAAACTGTAGGAGAGCGAGGACAAAAACTTTAGAAGATTTTTCCATCCACCTTAGTCTTAGTGGGCAGAGCTACCCAATACCTGTGTTGGTATCCAGTGAAATAGTTGAAGTTTGCATGTTGACATGTACACCGCCACTGTCACCGCCACACACTACTTTGACTAGCTATTCTACATGGAAAAGGGCAAATGACAGAAATGGAATTGAGTGGGAGTTGGGAGTTTTCTTTTAGGAAGGGTACTTCGGTGATTACCAAAAAATTGGGGATGAAGTAGTAAAAATCTTGTCTAATCTAGAAGTGCTTATAAGCTGAAAAGTGCTAGTGCTTATACAATAAGTCAATCCAACTTATAAGTTTTACCAACACCCTAGAGTATGATAGAGGGTTAAAAGGGAAGTTTTGATAATAATTAGTTGAGAAGACGTCGAGAAGCTTGACGAAATTTTTAATTTATACAAATATCAACCTCGTTCAAGGGGAGGTTTATTTTGGAAATGAACCTTAATGTGAAGTATGTTAGATATGAACACAGTGGAGGCAGCTATACTAATGGAAATGTCTTTTGGTTTTTAGGAAAAAAGAATGTCTACTATTCTGAAACGAAGGTAGTAATGATATTAAGTTAAATACTAACAGGATCAACTGGAGGAAAAATACTCTCCCTAATGCCATAGTTTATTAGTTTCTTGGTGTCCAAGTGTCAATTGCGACATGAGCTATGCTGTTGAGGTTTTGCATGCTGTGATTGCTAATTTTTTCATTTAAAGAAATGCTCAAAGGATGTCCGTTATAACTTGAAGTACCTTGAACAGATTGGACAAGTTACAAGGTGGGTTGTAATGGCTTGATTACAAGGGACTCAGCTTCCTTAAGTGGTCGATTGTGGGCACAAGAAGAGAAAGAGGTTGGGGAAAAGAACTTGTCTCGGGACTTATCAATCTTTGTGAAAAAACAGTATTGTAGGTATCACCTTTACAAACTATGTCAAGTTTAAAAGGTAAATAAATTCCTTACTATTAGAGGAGAATGGATATGGCTATGTTGGGGAGCCAGAACGGATATGGCTATGAGAATGGATATTGTTTTTTGTATTTTCCAAGTTTGGTTTTATATCATATATCAAATAAGTGTGTTTTCTCTTTAGATGTTAAATTTAACATTTGAAAGAAGAACATCAATATTCTATATGAACAAAAGAATAGAAGACATTTAGATAATATTGCTGGATACCTTGCCCGTAGATAGATGGGATGCCAGAGGTGCACCGTTACATGACCTCTTTGCTCCCAATTTGGAGATAATAATTTGCTCTTCCACTCTGTTGGGTTACATCTAAGAGTTTGGCCAAGCCTTTTCCTATTCCACTCTTCTCTCTTTCTGTCCAAAGAGGCGGATGTATAATTTAGGTTCCCTCTTTGGTTAGAAAAAAGATGGAATATGATGCGTTCTTGATGATTAATGAGCATGCACATGTATATGATTTCACCATTTTTTATGTTTTATTTCATATGATCCTATTGTTTATTTGTTCCATTTCAAAAAAGTTTTTACCCAAAAAGTAGACCAAACCTTCAAGTTATATTTTCTTAGTAGCTACTAGGGGTGTCAAATGGGCTGGTTGGATTGAAACGAGAGACATTAAAATGGGTTGAATTAGAAATTGGGTTGGGTCTTGATTCGTCCAAGTTTACTTTTGGGCTCAAATGAGCTTAAAAATGGGTTGGGTCTTGAGCCGCCCAATTTGACCTGCTTAATCTCTAATGGTTTGAATATATTGTTATTTAAGTTTTATGACCACAATTTGAATTTCAACTCAAGAAAATTTAAAAAAGAAGTTACAAATGGATAGATAAATCCTAAAAGATATAAAATATAGTTATTCATACCTTCAATATAGGAACATACATTACATCAATGCAAATAAATAGTCTTAAAATGAGTTGAAATTGGAGATTATATTGGGCTCAATTGAGGATTCTCTTAAAATGGGTTCAGGCTTGAATGTGTTAAGATTGAACCCAATTCAAATTGTCTTGAGCCCAACCTTAAAATTTTAGGCGAGTTACCTATTGTTGGGTTCATTTTTGACACCCTTAGTAGCACCCCAATGTTTTGGCCTAGTGGTCGTTGTAGTGGGAGAAGAGCCATGAGTTCTTAGCTTAGTTGCGTGGACTCTTCACTTTGATGCTGAACCCATGTCGGACTTTCCAAAAACGCACTACTTTTGGCAAATCCGACGTGCACCCGTTGAAATTTTTGAAGAGTCCGAGCAACATAGGTTCTTAGGTTGAATCCTAGGGGAGGCAAAAATCACTAGGTGACTATTCGACATTTATGTTGGAGGTAGCAAGTACTCAATGGAATAGTCCCGACCCCCCCACCCAAAAAAAATAAAATCATCAGAATAAAGGGTTTTATTTCTTTCTTGAAGTTTGCATGTCTGCCAAATCTGTAATTTTCTGCAGCAGAAACATGCTAGATAACATTAATAAATTTTTTGTTCTTTGTACTTGTTGAGTCTAAGTTATTTTACAAAATAAAATGTGACCAATAAAAATAAGATCTTCTTGTTCAAAAGAGATAATGTTACTAATCTGACCGACACTGAACTTGGTAAAATGAAATTGTCGAGTGATTGAAAAATTAGATTATTCATGAAATACATATTGAATGTTGATATTATGCATTAATTTCTAAATCTTCACTTTTGTACTCTATCTAGTACCTTTTTGGTAGTGATGTTGGTAAAATTATTATTATTTTATTATTCCCTCCATTTCAAAAAGAATGACCTCCTTTCCTTTTTAGTCTGTTTCAAAAAGAATGACCTTTCTTTTTTTGGTAACATTTTAATTTCAGCTTTCTAGGCGGCATGTTTAAGACCACAAGATCAAAGGACAATTTTGTATATTTGACCAAAATTTAATTTAGGACCATAAGATTCAAAAGCTTTCTTTATATTCTTAAACACCGTGCCAAGTCAAACCAAGTCATTCTTTGTGAAATGGAGGGAGTAATTTTTTTTGTTGACTTGTTCAACCTGACAAACATTAATGAGTCACTAGTCCAACTGCCCCTCGAAAGATAAGTGTTAAGAAGTCCCACATTGGTAGAGGGATGGGAAATTGGTCTCCTTATATGGACTTGGATGAACCTCCCTCATAAGCTAACTTTTAAGGTTGAGTTAGGCCCAAGTACCATATCTTAACATGGTATTAGAGCTAGGCCCATCCCAGTTTGTTGTTCACTTATGTGGGACCCCCATTTATAAGTGTTCACGCTCCAGTAAAGGTTTGAGCGTGTGAGGGAGTGTTAAGAAGTCCCACATCGGTAGAGATGGAAAATTGATCTCCTTATATAGACTTGAACAAACCTCTCCTCGTTAGCTAACTCTTGAGGTTGAGTTAGGCCCGAGTACTATATCTTAACAATATCTTAACAATAAGGTCGATAAGTTCCATGCAATTGACACCGAATCTATATTTAGAAACTTTTATATTGACACACATTCTATATTTAGAGCCTGTTTAGATTGACTTAAAAGTTGGTCAAACCTACTTTTAAGTCATTTTTAGCGTTTGTAAGTGTTTGACAAGGTTAAAAAAATTTAAAATAAGTTGAAAACCTAAAGTAGGCCTTACCCTACTTTTATTTTTTTGACTTAAAAGTCATTTTTGTTTGAATTTTTTATTTTTGATTTAGAAACTACTTTTTTTAAGCCAATCTAAACCGGCTCTTACAAAATTTTATCATGATATTCTAGCCTTTTTTGCTTAGCCATGCTCTTATAAGAATTGACATTACATGTTGATAAGTAGTAAGTTACTCTTCCATTAGTTGAAAATTTTAAATTTAGGAAGTTCACATAGACGATAAATTATAGATATATTATAATGTATGCAGGAATTGGATATATTTGTTTATATGTTAGAAATAGTAATACTGCTCCCTGAGCTTCTGCTCCGTGGTAAGATGAAAACATGATGTGTGGATTAAGAGCGCGTCAAGAGTTCGAACTCTGCTGCAGTCAAAAGCCTGATATTCAAGTGGAGAAGAGTAGAGGGAAATACCTATTATCCACTGAAAGTCTTGTATGTGAGCTGGTCCTTTGGAATCTCTCGGTTGTCAAAAAGAAGTGATAGCTACTTCTGTCAAACGTAGAGGATGCTTCTTGTCATAGTAATACACAGAAGGATTCTCTTTTCTTTCTTGCTTCTTTTATCTTCTAATTGACCTTGAATTGTCGTGTTTTCTGATAAATTGAACTTGCATGCTGATAATTTTTGTCTTTTGCTTTTTCGACGCCCCTGAAGAAGTTTGCTTCTTCCTTCTTGTTGGGTGAATTTCTACAAAGTCTCCAGGTGGTTCATATTTTTAAACTTATTAGTTTTGTGCATTTGACAAAAGCAACTTTATGATATTCTGTATGTGTACTAAATGTGCTTCCATGACCAACCAGTGTTGTTTAGATTGTATTAGCTGACTGTCTAGTGAGATACAAAATTGAATTTCCCTACCCTTCATTTGGTGCTGTTGAGCTAAATTATGGAGAAAGTCACCTTTGTTGCTCTTAGCAATGTGTTCGATATTAGCCAGAGATCACACTCCTTTCCTCTTTTTAAAAAATTATCACCTGTCCTTGAATTCCGCTTCGACATTACTGCTGGTAGTCAGATGGAGATCATAGTTATGGTTTTTTGTCAGTACTAGTTATAGCATACCTTTCAAAGTTTTTTCTGGTCATACACCCTTTCAGTTCTACTTCAAGGATTTTATCCACAGCAATTTATTGTTTGCATAATCGTAATTCATAATATATTGTTCAACCTCTGCCATGATTACTGGTTCTGGAAATCATTGTTTGTGCTGCAGATACTTTGTTTTGTCAGGAAGTAACCTTCTAGGGAATGGTTTTGATTATGAAGATATCAGCTTACAGTTGTCGCTCAAAGCAGCTTACTGCCTAACCTTGTGCTGTTTCTAATTATTTTTTTTTATCTCATGCAGATGAAGGGCACTGTTCTTGACATTCCCGTTATCTTGGTGACAGTCCAGACCGCATCACTAGATTCCTAAAACAAGTTGCTCTGATAGCTGTTTTCTGCACCAGCTTGTAGATCCTATGTTGTAGATAGCATGGTGTTCAAGACTAGCTACAAGAGTGAAGAAAGTGATATTGCTGCTTCTCACTATATATCAGCGCTTTGGTAGGAACCTTTTTAACCTATGTGTGCTAACCTGCCACTGATGTTCTTGATTGTAAGAACTTTCCTTGGTTGTAGTAATAGCTTGTATATATGAAGATCAAACTTGCTTATTCTGTACAGAAGATTGTATTGATTTCGTGTTACCGGATAGCTGTAGTTAAGTTAAAATGCTTTTGCTAGATAAAGAGGGAAGCACCTAGTATGTGGTCCAAGTTAGGTATGCTGGGAATTTTGGAAGGATCAAAGAGGCACAGCAAATATGTTACTACCAGATTTTCCCTCTGGATATGGCAATGCAAATTTTATTCAAATTATTGAATTCTTTCTTATGCTTAAACCTATATTTTTTTTTCTTCTCATTGTGCTGTTTACCCTATTGAAATACAGGAAATAAACTCATTTTGCTTGATTTAGCCAAGTTATTTCAGAAACTTGAGCTGTGATGCTGAGTGTCAAATTTTATACTTAAATAGGAAAAACTCAGTTATTTGGTTGTATATTTGCTCTTATCACAATTTCAGAAGTTGTCATTTTATTTTCAAAGTCAGTGCTTATTCAAACATCATCACATAAATCAGATTTTTGAGTTAATTTGTGCAACTATATTTGGTGATGTGGCACTGTTGATTGGACAGTGACATGGAAGCTAACTGGAAAATGTTGCATCAATGCTGATGTTTCAACTTACTAGACAAATATAAAAATCTTGATTTGAAAGATCATCAATTGACATAGATGGTAACTTGAGAATTAGCTTTGGAATGTTGGTTTGATGAGTAATTAGATAGAGACTACTGAATTACAGCCCTGTTTTGCCATTTTTAAGCTAAAATTAATTATCATTCAAAGAGTTTAAATTTGATGTTTTTGGTTAAAAAAGAATACTGTGTGTTACTGAGCAGCAGAGCTAACTTGTGTCCTGTTGGTAAAGGCAAAGATATGATAAGAACTGAGAAAGCAATTGCTAGTACATTTGACTTTGACACATAGAAACTGAACATGTTATATGGCATAAAATTGTCCAAGTGCTGCAGAATTTGGATACATGATGATAGTCATATCTGTTAATAGTATACACATATACAACTGATATTACGAGTCGTATCGATCAAATAGCCTCGTTTTTGAACCCTTGTCAAAGATGTAGGACTGTCAGATGGTGGTTCCATTCTTTTCAAGTTCGCGTTGTCTGGCTCTTTCCATCTTTCGCTTACGCCATTCCTCCACAACTGTACACAAGTTTATTATTGAAGGGAATGAGTTTAACGAACCATCGTAAGACTTATTAACATCTAATGGTTTCAAAATGCAAGAAGAGAGTACTAGCAGTCAATACCAGAACAGAGTCGCAACAGTTTTCAGCCATGTAGCGCGACACATACAATTAAAGGAGCAGTATCTCACAGGTAAAGTCCATTATGACAGCAGAAAACACTGGCAAGAAGCAGATGAGTAAATCTATACTAAAGATGCATTGCTAGCTCAAAATTCTATTTGCCATTCAAAAAGACGAGAACTTTTGATGTCCATTTCATGTAGGCCATGCTTATTTCTCATAACTATTGGTTTTCATTAGCAAGTAGGATGACTCATGCATGAAAGGAGAATACACAAGGTAGGAGAAACCCTGCAAAACCATCTTGAGGTTGTCGTATATGCTCCAAAAGCACATGTGAGAGATGCACACAACAAAGTCCTCATGGATATCCCTGATTTAAGATGCTTATTGTGTGACTAGTTGATACCCATTAGTCCTGACTCCTGAGTCTTTATGAAGATCAACAGGATCTAACACCAGCGATAGAATGCAGTTCTAGCACTTCAGACTTTTTACACTCGATTGCAGTGCACTATCTATTATCCAGGTTTAACACTGCTACATCAATGCTGCATCTCAGACTATGCAAGTAGTAATAAACAGGATTTCTGTACATACAATTCATGCTGCACGATAAGAAGGATGACATATACTGTTTACACCTAAGAGAAGGAAAGGGAAACTACGGCAGGGCAAGAAATGTCTTAACGTCTGAAATTTAAACAGAGGAGGATAAATGTAAATGGATTAATGTTGTGATGGACAGTGGTTAACTAAGAACAGTGTTTTCTGTTGAAGATCATACATGATTTGTATTGATTTGATTCGATAGCTGTGATTTATCTTCATTAGGAGATGTAAATTTGCCAAAAACATCTAAATTACCGAAGCAATAATCAGTGTACTTAGTATAAATGTCCAAACAAACTTGAGGGAATAATCAAACTCAACGAGTCTCTCAGTCTTTCACGTAATTCTTCCTAGTGTCTTTTTAGAATACTGGATAAGACAAACTACTAATTCCTATATCACAATTCAGTCCTCTTCGAGCCTACTTGCATCGCTCTCATACTCGTACTAAAACCGATGATATAATTATTCTATATTCTCTGGGTATGATCTACTTGTGGACACTGTCTTAGATCTTATAGAAGTAGAATATCAAACTTTGGTCCCACAATACGTGCCATCATCTGATTAAAATTACTTCTCCAAGAGGTAAGGTGCATTGAGTTAACACAAATAAAGTTGATGTGTTCCTACTGACAATTAAGTTGTCCTTCATATAGCCTCAATTCATTGACCGAATTCAGAGGAAAGCAAATGAACTGTTGATTCAAGGGAATCAGATGACCGATATATTGATAATTGTGCTTTTTAGAAGATGTACAATTGACTGAAGCTTGCTATGCCAGTTAGTTTAGCAAAAAGTTTCTTTTACTGATTCCAAGAGCTGCAGAAGACATTGTTGACGGACTCACCATGTGGCTAAGCGTTATAGAGGTCTTTTTGTATCTAAAGATAAGATATAAAGAATGTCCAAGAGGGTTGTTGATTATTACCTTTAACGCTGCCTGAATCAGTATAAGAACGATAATTGTTCAGTCTAGATATGAGGTCTACTGCAGCAGTCTGCTTTGCATCCTTCTGTTGGAGAGGATCTGGTTCGACATGCCCTTCTTTCTGAATTTCCTTCACCTATCACGACAGAAGATATTGTATTCTCCAAAAGTCACAAAAAATAGAAAACAAAACATTACTAATACTATTGATGCACAGGCACACATCATTCTAATTATTCAGCTAAAACCAAACAATAGGAAAAAGGAGGTACCTACTCTTTTAATTAGCTCCACAGGCAACATAGCACGACGAATCTCTGCTGCTTCCGTTATATACCTTTCAACTGCAAACCAAACAGTAAGATGCCATATTAGCCATTCTCTCACCAAAACTAGATTAGGTGCTCCTGCAACAGCTTTTTTTTTTTTTTGGGTAACTAACAGTATTATAAATCACCAAAGGGCAGTCATTACAGAATTAGCTAGCTAAAACAGCTTGCTATGGTCTAGAATTGTAACAAATTTACTCACAGAATCTGACATACTGATGATTAAAACTTTAAACTAGAGACTAAAACTTGAATGTCAAGGGTAGCTCGCACATTGCATATGTACGCTAGATCTTTAGCCATTGTTTTCACTTATTTGCTTCTTTTTTCAAAGAGTCGCTGATTTCTATCTATGTACAATTTTTAAAGAGCAAAACTGTCTGTGTAGAAGTCCACCTTTGTTTTTGATACGCAGGAGGGATACGGGAAGATTCCTCTAACAGGACTTGTACCATGCTATTCTGGATGAGATTTGATAATTTTTGCCATAATGTTCATTCACAAGGCATTCTATTATTCATGTTCCAGCCAGTATACACTACCTTAACAGATTCTGAAAGAAGTGGATATCTTTTGTTTCCGTCGAATCACAAGCTGGTGCAAGGACAAGCTTTTATGCAATTTTGACTGAGGTTACCAAGTAATCACCCAATTTTACCTCTAAATTGACAGATAATCACTTCAAATAGGTACTTCCAAAGGGTTGCAGAAACTCAAAAAGGGTCATATGGCAACTTACAAGAAACCTTATTTTGTGCTATTTAAGCAAGAGATCTCACTAATTAGTTTATACTATAGGGAGTACAAAAGGAAGCCAGTAACTTTCTAAATCCTAATCTCATATACTCTCAATTATGCTTCCCCTTTCTGAAATTCAAAGTTCAACACTCAATTAGATCAGAAAATGCAGCAATTCCAGATCAAAGTAATCATTTTTTACATTTCTTAATCAAACAGCAAAAAACCTCTAATCCTATATGCACTTTCTCAAAATTTATGTTTTCTATTGCTACCCTAGCAAAAACCCAGAAAAAATCAAACAGAAAGAAACACAATTTACAGATTAAGAACCCCAAGAACCTAAAAATGAAGCAAATTTAAAGGGAAAAAAAAGCAAGAAGAGATGGAAACCTGAAGATGGTGTGGTGGAAGATGAAGAAGAAGAGAAGAAACTGTGAAGTATAAAAAGGGCAGCAATTATATTGACGAAAGTGACAATAATGGTGGCATTCTTGAACGACCACCTTAATCTCCACCGATGTTGTACATGTACCACCTCCATTTTCAACCCTCAGCTGAAAAAAAGAAGAAGCAAGGTTCTTGATTTGCTAAATGGAAGTTTCTCATAAATTGGAAATTACTTTAATTTTGTTTTGAAAAGAAAGGAGAAATATATCTCGAACAACCATAAACGGTATCCCAATGTTATACTTTTGAGATGCCGATGCTTTTATCGTACAAAAACTAAAGTAAATATGTCATTTATATTAACCGACTATACACATATTATAATGAATATCGAATTGATAAATAAAATTATCTCATATACGTATCCGTTAGTATAAATAATATAATATGCTTTAGTTTTTGTACATTAGGAGTACCAGTGTCTCAAAAGTATGATATAGAATATCTCCATATTATTTACGATAGTTTGAAATATACTTATTCATTTTTCTTTTCATTTTTAAGAGTCAAATCATAATAACTTTAACTTACATTAACAATGTTTTTTTTAAATGTATTGATATATAAAAAGTCTCATTGTAGTAAAATGATCGAAATCCTACCTTTATGTTCTGTTATTACCATTATCCCCTATTAGTTTAACAAATCTTCAAAATTCCTTATTTTCACGTATCAGATTAATGTATCGCGTACATCAGATTAGTGTATATAAAATGTATATCAAATGAGTGTATCATGTATAAAATATAATGTATTTTACTTAACGATTAGTGTATTTCGCACATCATATTAATTTATCAGCGCTTATATTATTGTATCAGTTTGATAAATTTTTGTAATTATAAACTTATAAAGAATAAATGATAATTTTGCGTTAAAAAGTACGTGATTTCTCCATTTTGCTAAAAAATTAATATAAGCGCTAATAATACATTAAGTATCTAATTTTTTTTTTGTTTAAG